TGACAGTTAATTTGGCCAACATTAGTTGCCCTGTAAGCACTGTAGTTTCCTGTGATGATGCCTTCAACTCAACCAATTAAAGTTTCAGGTAACAACATTAACTAATCGTAGTGTACTTCATTTACATGCACAAGGCAGGCAATTAAACAATCAGATAAGTTTGTGGTCACATAAATGGGCAAATGAGAGCACTCTGCGCAAAAACAAAAATTCTTGAGTGATTCGCCAGTTCAAAGCAAAATATCTATTGCCGTAAATGAAATGCCACCCAACAATCTTAATCTTATGCTCCCTGACATTTATTAATGTCAGTGCAGAAGCAAAAGCACCACAGACTGGGGGGCCTCTGACATTTACCTTCAGGGGTTCTTCAGCAAATGTTACCTAATGATCAAATAACTGGTCCATTTAAGCCTAAAAGAGCAACTCACACACTTGTAGGAACTTGGGATAGGGTGGGGTTAATATATAGGAACAGTTCTTATCTAGGAGTACAATGGAACTTCCCACAGTTTAGTTCACAAAACTCCCACTGGCTGAATATCTTTCTTGTCCACAAGTCATGTTTCACTAAGTAGCACAAAACTGTCTTCTGATATACAGCAGCAGATATGTAAATGTCTACAAAATATACTATATACAGTACCTTGACACTCCACGACCAAGTGAACAAGAATATAAAAAAGATGACCAACTTCATCATTTTTTAAGACTTGATTTGATTCCACTTGTTTGCACATACAGCATAGTACTATTATTATACCTGTCTAGATACTGTTATGACAATCTTACACGTAATCACGATTCCGGTTGGCCAGGTGTGGGCAATCTTACTTCACTAGTAGTCTAAGCGCATCATTAATTGTGATGCAACAGTTAGGTAATAATCCAGCATACCCCACAATGGTGGCAGGCACCGTCTTTTTTATGCAAGATTATGTACTGTACCACCACAAAATGGTTCCCTGTATAAACTCCCTCGTGCTAACACAGTTTGGCCGGCTTTCATTTGCCGATAAGTCTTAGTGCATAAAATGTGTAAAATTCCCTTTGGATGGCTTTATGCTTGCCATGATATGTCATCGATTATTTCACAACTTTAACTTCCCGTGAGGGGGAAATGTAATAGATACAGAAGGGAATATTTATGATCTGTTGACTCGTGCTCAGTGATACATACACAAACCATAAATAATAGTCGCTGGTATGACAAAATTATTAAGATAATGTTTCCCTATTAAAAGTGCGAGAGGAATAAATGACTAAACAGTAAGCAAATCTACATACAGCATAAAGGCACCCAGAAAATGGGGAAGGGAGGTGAGTCTTCATCACAATGTACCTCTATTGTTTGGCTCAGAAAATTGGGAGCCAAATCAACACTTTAGCATCCAGAAGACTCAGGCGGGAAGACCCAAAAGTGTCATATCTCAGCACTGTCACTTCCACATTTTTCAGCAGCCTTTTCAAAAAGAAAGATCTAGAAATACTGGTAAAACCGTTTGAAGATAATTCATTTCCGAAGTCCTCTCTTAAAAGACTAGCAATAACAAATTTAAGATACAATTGTGTTAGCATATAAATCTTGGACTTTAAAATTCCAAATATAAAACTCCAGAACTCCTCTTGCTGACATTAATCAATGCAAACTCTCAATATGAGTAACAGTGTAACCTTTTCCTTCCAAATAAGGAAATCAATCCTATTCTGAGAAGCCATTCCCTCACTGAGCCACCTAGCTCCCTATTACCTCCATAAATTCTTCTGAGTCCCACGAAGAGGTAGAGGTCTGAGACTTTGTTAATGTATTATGGGAGTAGGGCACACTGCCACAATGTGATGGCCCCACAAAGCACACCAGTCATCACCCCAAACTGGATCATTAAAAGAATATACTCTCTTCCAACTCATATCATTAAATTCACACAAAAATATAAACACCAAAGTCCCAAGACTATATGGCCACCAATCAACAGGATAAAGTACACTCAGCTTCCAACAGACATAAAGAAACATCCACTCTCTTCCTTGTGTGTTTGAAAACTTTAAAGTACGAATAATTTAATTATATTTTTTAACAGAGCCAAGCAATAAAGGAGCAGGTAGTTTAAGTGGCACTGAAGACTCCCAAACCTTCTTCCCTTTTCAGAGCATCTTCCTCCTTTATTGGAATATAATATGAAGATTAATGATTTTTTAAGTCTTTAATTCCTTTATAAATTTATAAATTCCAGTCAAATGTCAGGATCCTGGGAAAACGGTAGTCAACCTGTACACTTGATGACTGTATATAGTCACTCCTGACTGGCACTTGCCCAGAAAAAGTGAGCTACTACTTATCCGAGGTTATGTGTAACTTCTCACCCACATGCCATACCATCTTCATCATAACAGTAACACCAAAGTAAGAGTAATAATAAAACTAAATCACACTATTCCATCAAGTGATAAAAATTTTCCATAAATATTTGAGAACATGGCAATAAATTATAGTCATTTAATGTCCAATGTCACCATTGTCATGCTGCCCAAAAAAAAAAAAATTATATATATATATATATATATATATATATATATATATATATATATATATATATATATATATATATATATATATATATATATATATATATATATATATATATATATATATATATATACACACACTTTCCTCTTCCTGTGTCATACCTATTAACCTCTTAACCATGGGGATGTCATTTCTTATATATTATTCAGCTAACACCAGACAATTTTACTCAGCACAGAGAGGACCCAGTACACAAAAAGTTAAGGCAAGCATTTGGTCACATGTTATTGTGTCACGCCATGAAAAATAATTAAATAAATAGAACACTGCCGAGTTAAGATGGAAGTACTGTACAGTATAAACTTCTTCACAGCATAACCTTATGGCATCTCAAGGTATATCTCAAGTAAACAGTGTACATGTAAGATATATTTCTGTGGTATATTTCAGATATATTTCTGGAGTAAAACTCAAGACATATTTCTACAGTATACCTTAGATATGTATCTACAGTATACAAGATTTAATGTTTCTCTTAGGTAAAAATATCCTATCATCTCTCCAATAGATCTCGCATACATCAGGACACAAACTGCCGCCATCCTTCCAGCTTACAAACCGTAGTTTCAACTATAATCAGCCCCAAGCTTACGACTGCAAAAGACGAGGTGCTTTCAAGACAACACAAATGAATTGAATTCTGAATAAATGTGGACTATTAAAGTTCACATTAGTGCTGCTGCATCGAGTCATTCTGTATTTAGAGTCGACAAACGATTCAACAATTGCAATCTTAGATTACCAGAGATAAGACTAAAACTTCACCACTACCTACATCAATGACATCGTAAGCTAGAATATAAATACATAAACAGGTAAAATTAAATCACTTCATAATAAGCAGGAGGCTGAAGTTTTGGAAAGGATATTTTGGTGAAAGGGTACAGATGTATTGCAGAGGGAATTAGCAGGGTGGTACAATGTATTTTTGTTTGCAGTGATGCACATAGAATGAATGAAAAAGCTACATGTTAATGGATATTCTCACCCACTCATTTAAAGCGAGTTAAAGAACAAGGAATGACATATAATAATGGATTATTAAAGGAAGATGTTGTTGGGTTGCCTGGCTGGTATAATAGCATAGTGAATGAATGGTGCAGGACTGTTACCTCCATGTGTATCATATATATATATATATATATATATATATATATATATATATATATACAGGTACTATTATCTCTACAGAATACCTGAGGTAAGTGGTAAAAACAACAGAGAATCCAAGTTGAAAAGAATGACATAATATAAAGGAATGGGGAAGTGAATTAATTATGTTTACACTGACAATTATGGGCAACACACATTATAAGCATTTGCTTGTTTTTTGTGGTGGGGAGGGTGTCTTAGGGCACATGCCTGGAAAGGGCAAGTCAATTAACAACTGTCTATCAAAAGGGAAGATTAAATCAAATAAAAAAAATACAAATTAGCAAACAGGGTAGTCTCAGACTCTGGGTGCAGCATACTGTCTACAGGAAGTGCACCAGCAAGTCTCCCTGCACACATGGTATTACTAGGGAAGGGGTCAGGAGGGAGCATGGAATTTATTGATGGAAAGGTGAATGGGTGGAAAAAATTGGGCAAATATGTGTGTGTATATGTGTGCGTGTGTGCATAATGTTAGGTTAATTTGAGGTGTTTTGAAGGTGAGTGTTCTGAAAACTTGGGTTTTCAATAAGAACTTCCAGAGTCCTTAATGCAGACAAAATAAAATATTTCCTCTTGGACTGATTGTGTGCCAATGACTGCATGTGAACTTAAAAATCATATTTACTAGTGAACTATTAAAAGAATATTGGACTGTAAGAGTATTATCCAGGTGGGTGTGTCAAGGTTGTCTTTATAAATATATAACAAGACAAGCCGAGGAAAAAAAAAACCAATATTTGGCATGACTAAATGATGAACCACGACATGAACAGGTACAATGATGGAGAAATTCTTTGATGCCCCCACAAACATTCTAACCACCAAACACAACTTTCATAAATACTTTGACCACTAAAAACACACCAACTTCCATGTAAACTTTGGGTCTAAAATCAATAATCTTCTGCAAACACTTTGACCACTAACCACAGCAACTTTCAGTTGTCATGACTTGCCCACAAGTGACCCTCACAAAGAAGGCTGACCTTCATGAGCAAGCTGCTTGACCTACAAAATAGGTGAAAAAAGAAACAATTGCCTCTATCTATTTGCACTAAGAAATAATTAGCATGAAGAGATGGGGAGAGGGAGCAGGGAAGGGGGAAATGCTTGACAGTGGGTGACAACAAAAAAAATAAGAGGGTGACAGTACTCTTCAGTGGTACAAGCATAAGAACTATGAAAGATACATTAGAATATTACAAATTTGAGATCATGTGGCAAAGCTCCATCTGGTAAGGAGAAAAAAAATATAATAATCATTTTTGGCTCTGTGAAGATTTCATCATGGTTTACACAGTACAAGGAATCAAATGCTCAAGAAAATCTTAACCATGTGTCACACTCCAGGGACAACCTAATAAGCTTGAAGACAACAACCATCTTGTGCAGAAAGTTTAGTGTGTACAGTGAAGGGAGTAAATATGGGAGAGTACAGATATGTATATCTAGTATGCAAAAAGATATAAAACTTATTTTATCTTTTTTTCTTTTTAAATGCCTACCAAGAAACTTTACCCACATAAAAGTTGGGCAGATAATTTATACTGGCACATATATACTGTAACATGAATAAAGTACCATCAAAAAATAATCATCATGAGTATATGCTAAGCATAGAATCCCAGAACAAAATTATGTACTGCCTTTTGACTGCATAAATTCCTATATTACAGAAACTTGTGCTTAAAGATAAGTTCATGAGTTATCATTAAGAGGATAATGTGGGGTAGAACAGGGGTCCTGGAAAGTCTGGCTGGCAGCTACATGAGGCTGTTGGGTGTGTGGCTGTAATCTTCTGTGAGAGCCAAGAAGGTGTTGTGTAGGGTCACATATTGAGTTCCCCATCTTTGCTTCATGCTGCTGCTGCTCGCTCATAGTACTGACTGGATGTGCTTGTACACCAGCATGTGTACTCACATTACTAAGTGGCTGTGCTTGTACACCAGCATGTGTACTCATATTATTAATTGGCTGTGCTTGTACACCAGCATGTGTACTCATAATACTAACTGGCTGTGCTTGTACACCAGCATGTGTACTCATATTACTGACTGGTTGTGCTTGTGCACCAGCATGTGTACTCATATTACTAACTGGCTGTGCTTGTACACCAGCATGTGTACTCACATTACTGACTGGTTGTGCTTGTGCACCAGCATGTGTACTCACATTACTAACTGGCTGTACATGTACACCAGCATGTGTACTTATATTACTGATTGATGGTACTTGTGCACCAATATGTGTACTCACATTACTAACTGGCTGTGCTTGTACACCAGCATGTGTACTCACATTACTAACTGGCTGTGCTTGTACACCAGCGTGTGTACTGACATTACTAACTGACTGTGCTTGTACACCAGCATGTGTACTCATATTACTGATTGGCTGTACTTGTGCACCAGTATGTGCACTCACATTACTAACTGGATGTGCTTGTACACCCCCATGTACACTTATATTACTGACTGGCTGTACTTGTACACCAGCATGTGTACTCACACTGGTGACTGCCTGTGATCGTACACCAGCAAATGTTCCGTCTTGCATTTGACTACGGGAGCTGTTACTTGATTTGACAATGATGTGAGGCAAGACAAATGAATTACCAAATGGGTAATGCTTGTCTGACTGAGCGGGCGGCAATGAATAGTACCGCTGTTGAGGCACCACTGGAAAACCTTCTGGGCGTTTTCGAAAATTAGGATTATGGGTCTGATTGCGCAGACTATATCCCATTGCCTTATAGTACTTCTGCAGAGTTGCGTGGCTTACCCCATAGAGGCGGCCAGCTTTACAGAACCCCATTCTGCCCTCCCGCACCTCATCTATGGCACGCAAGAAACTCTCGGGGGTGCCGTTGCGGATAGTTATGGTAGAGCCATTAGCTGCCTGAAGTTTTGGATATGCTGAGTTAGGGTACATATAGTGTTGTTGGCTGGCAGAAGGTTGGGGGGGGAGGAGGCCCACGACACCCACGGCCCCTGTGGTGAAGAAAACTCTCGTCAGTGGCACATCCCGGTGACTGACACAGCAGTCATACCATCCCAGTGACACGCATGCAAGCACACACACACACACACCAACCATCCCCATCTCAAAAACACACACCAACCTTCTTAACAACTTACACACAATAAATATACCAGATTTATAAACTTACAACAATACAAATATCCCAGATGTACAAACACACCATTTTAGAGGCACACAAACACATGATTATACAGGGACACAAACACACTACAATTACATCACTGTCAAGGTCTACAAACACACAACAATTATATCACTGTCAAGGTCTACAAACACACTACAATTATATCACTGTCAAGGTCTACAAACACACTACAATTATATCACTCAAGGTCTACAAACACACAACAATTACATCACTGTCAAGGTCTACAAACACACTACAATTATATCACTGTCAAGGTCTACAAACACACTACAATTAAATCACTGTCAAGGTCTACAAACACACTACAATTATATCACTGTCAAGGTCTACAAACACACAACAATTACATCACTGACAAGGTCTACAAACACACTACAATTAAATCACTGTCAAGGTCTACAAACACACTACAATTATATCACTGTCAAGGTCTACAAACACACTACAATTATATCACTGTCAAGGTCTACAAACACACAACAAACATTCCATGCCAAAGGAAACCTACATAGTTCAAAGAGATTTTATCAGGAACAATACACATATGGTAACTAACCAAAGCCATGAGATGTTACTCTGTCGAAGGTTTCAAACCTAAGAGGAGAAATGCATCTGAATATGATGAATATTGGGTAAAACTGAATATAGCACACAAGATAACAACAGTTCAAATGTTCTAAGAGAAAACAGCACAAGAGATTTGCCAAGACTTCCTCAAATAGATTTCTTACGACTTGGACAACCCACAAACAGTTTTGAATGAAGAAGAAACTCCTATAAACAATCCGACTCAAAATACAGGCCACTGTACCACTGACGAGTTATAGATAAGCACAGAAAGAAGCAGTTGCTACTACACAAAATGCAACAGTTTTCCCTCCATAACTGTTGTAACCTACACAGCTTTCCCAAAGGCCAATTGATATTCATTAGACCTAATCATCTTGTATCCTATGAACAATCTTACAAAAGGACCAACTGGAGTTTTATCACAGATCTGAAGAATACCATAATTTAAGCTGCAACACAAATACTAGATAAACTAGTTTGTGCTGTGAGATCACGTCATCACACAATAAATATACGAGATTCCTTTCCCACTCATAGACTAATTTGAGGAGACTCCTTTTTATCACAGATTCCTAATTGTAAACAAGATCACAAAGAGGTTGAATATTAAGAAAAAATGCACACTGGGAATGTTTAGAAGTCATCTTTAAATTGAGTAATGTCATTCCCTTAGTATAAAAATAAACCCTAAATATTATAGCACTAAATATGCATCAAGACTTCGGTGAAATTATTGAGAAGTATAAGCTATCCGTGGCCATGTTCAGAGCCCTTAATATTGTTGTGTGACACATCTTAAGTTTGGCTCGTCCAAATATTACGTAAGTTAAAAGATTCCAATAATGACTGGAGAGCTCTGGTGGCTTCGTCTCCTTGCAAGTCATCGTTGGTTATCTCCGGTGCCGGCTGGTGAGGGCCGTACGTGTAAGACTGTTCTATAGGTACAACGGGTTCATTTAATGTGACTTCAGGTATCTGATCATTTGTAGCTGCGAGCGTAATTTCCTCGTGTTCTGGAACTAGTGTGTCGGTTATTATTTGCTGCTGTGAGGATCCTGCACAGTTAACATTTGGCATTTCGGGTTGGACTTCGGTTGGGTTATTAATGGGGCCTTTCTGCCTTCTCCCTCGGAATGTGTTGTGGACTTCATAACCCAGTTTGCGGTAGTATACCCACAGTGTGCGACCGTTGACGCTAAATGTTTTTCCAGCCTGCGTGAAACCCATTTTTCCTGAGCGCACAGCCTCAATGGCCATAAGCATGTTTGGGGACATCCGGCGGAACTGAGGAGGCCATCCCTTATGGGCGAGATAGGCTGGGGGTGGTGGGTGCATAGGATATGGGAGGATGGAGGAGGGTGAGAGTGGGGATGATGGCAGGACAGGGTGTGGAGGGGAGGAAGCAGGAGTGGGGGGGCCTGGAGGGGTGTAAGGCCCTGCCAGGAGCGACTCCAACGAGGGGGGGTCTCCTGCGCCCCACCGACACACCGACCCTGCGGGCAAGAAAACAGCAGAGGTCAGCCTCCTGCCCACACCTCACACCCCCCCCAGCCTCATTCTATTTCCAGTTCTCAACTACTACCCATCCTCAGCTACAACTATTGGTAAGGTTTCCATTGTGCTGTTTTATTAAGTCTTTAAATTTTAAGTGTAATGCTTATTAAACTTCCAAAATGTTCAGTGAAAAAGAGATTTCTATCCAAAAGCTATACATTTTCTTGAATGTCTAATAATACTCCAAGTTTTATTTTGAGGAAAAAACAAACACAGATTACCTGCAAAACCTTATTTATTCACCTGTCAAAGCTATAAACGGATATATGGTATTGTAAGTGAGCAAACTGTGGAGTATATTGGATGAGTCATTGCTTAAGTGTACATACAGGATACATGCAGACATTGAGCTGGGCCAAGTGACCCTCCTGTCATTTGTGAGCAGTTAAAAGTACGGGGAAATTCCCCAAGATACGTGAGCAAAAAGGCTAATCAGTGAGCATATGAGCGGGGGAAATGTGGCCTGAAGCCCCTCCCAATCATTTGAGAGTGGGGTCTGACAGTCCAAGCTTCTTGGAATACCGCCAGAGTGTGGTCACAGAGACTGCATACAGCTTGGCCGCCGAGGAGAAACTCTCGCGTCGAGCGGCAACAGCTTGTAATGCCTGGACCATCTGTGGGGATATCTCCTTCCCAAGAGCTGCAACCAGAGTCATCTGGTCTAGTGGAAGCTGGAGTGGGAGCCGTGGATTGGTGCTTCCTCCTGCCCCTCCACCTACGCCATCTAATCCCTTCCCCGGCGTCGAGTTACGTAGAGTGCCAACCCCACCGGTACCGGAACCTGCTACACCGCTGCTCGAAGACAGTGAAGAGCGCACAGAGGGCAGGTGGGCCATGGATGGTTGAAGGGCAGGTGGGCGATATGCTGGAGGTCGATGGTGATGTTGATAGCGAGAGAGGGCCGGTAACACTGAAGCCCACCATGGGCTGAGCTGCTGCAGGGTCCAGTCCCGGCCTGTGGTGGAGAGCTGACCATTACTAATTCCCTGTCCAACCTTATCTTGCCAGTCAGCATGGATTGCCAAGTTTTGGTTGTTAGCCTTAAGCAGCATGTAAGTGCCTCCAAGAAGCTGGTTGTGCCATGTGCCCTGAAGGTGGCAGCAACAACAGCAACAGCAGCAACAGCAGCAGCAGCAGCAGCAGCAGCAGTAGCAGCCCTGTCAACAGCCCAGCAGCAGTAGTGTCAGTCAGCCCATGCCCTGTTGTGCATGCCCGGTGTAAGCCGTAGCAGTCGCTGTTGCCCACATTGGGCCATCCAGACCGTGCCTGCCTCAGGCAGCCTTGTGTGAAGCCTTGAGGTGAGGTTAGCCAAGCCTGGTGGTGAGGTGAGTGACCCACATGCCAGTTTAATGCCCACCATTAGTGCCCAGTTGCTGGCCTTACCCGACAGCTCTAGCACTGTCACCAGTAGCACAGCAGCACATGACCAGCAGCAGCAGTACCAGGCGCAGCAACAGGACAGCAGGTGCTCCCGCCGCCTGGCAGTGCCCGTGCCCTGTGCTCCGCTGTCCAAGCATGCCAGCAGCAGCCTCGTGGGTGGTGGTGGTAGTGGTGGATTGGTTGGTTGACTGGGTGGGTGGGTGCAGGAAGGTTGGTTGGTTGGTTGAAAGGTTGAGTGGCAGTGATTTTTCACATTCATTCCCTTGCAAACTGTCAAGGGTTTGGATTGGATCCCAAAACACCAGTGACGTATGAGTCTCGTTCAATCCCATCCCCATATCAAGTCAGCGTGTAATGACGAACAAGTCACATGTGCCCATGAGGCCCTTGGGATGAGCCCTGGTATGAAGAGGTGGTGCATAAAAGTTACAAGAACAGAAGCAACAAGACCATAGTTAATGCCGAGTAGAAGCAAAGACCACACACGATGGGCTCCAGACACCACAAAGCAGACAAGTCAGCCCAGAGATCATTCCCATCACAGATTATATCAAATGTGCTTCTCAACCGTTGTCATGGATATATCATTATTTGTGAATTCTATTTCTTTAAAGCTTATTTGTGAAGAAACACTTAATAATGAATAAATTTGTTTTCTTCAATCATGTAACCCTTTGGGGGATATAATCCAGGACAGTTATTTGAGAAGCACATTTAAAATATACATATGTAAATGCAGAACTGATCAGTTTTTAGAATTATAGCCCAATTAATAACCCTTTAGCAAGCACTGTACAACTGGTTTTGGTGATGTCAAACTGAAAATTAGCCAATAGCATTCTCATTACAGGATCAACAGGTCCCACACACAATAATATACATACATATAAAACATATAAACATTATCTGAAATTATTTTGGAGGCTATGTGCAAAAAAGTTGTTAATGTTTGGGAAAAACTTGCTTTTAAGGATTATTCATCACATTTATCAAGGTATAACCTCAAAATAATTATAAGACAATCTGTAGAAATAATGTTATTGGATATTACATAAAATTTCATTATATGAGAAAATACTCCCATATGCAAACTGACCAATACCTCAATTATCATGGACATTTTTTGAGTCAACTAAATAGTTACATCTAATAACAACTACTTTACCTGCTTTGAAATGCCATAGCCCGCAGCCTCATGCACCACCACACAACTGATAAATGAATAAATCCCATCAAGGGCACTGCACTATCACTTACCATGAAGGACATACAGCCATTACTACACATCTCTGAATA